CTTCACTTCTCCCTAAAATGAGGAGAGGAAAGGAGAGTAAAGGAATGAGAGGAGCACATGCAACCAGCTTCCTTCTCCCAAACACTTTTCACAAGAAGTCATGTCAAAGCCACAGACACAACCTGGGCCAGTGGTTTGAGGCGGTGAAGAATCTGGATTCTCTCTGTTGGTTTGACTTGTATGAACTCAATTCAATTCAACAAGCTTAAGTTTATATATCACTAATTATATCTATTATCATCACTTCACAGGCATACCATAGTTCCAGCCTTTAATTAAGGAAAGACGATTAGCAATGCATAGAGTACAGGATGAGGAGGTCTTTGTCATCAAGTGCAGAAAGAGAACAGCAAGCATTCTATAAAAACAACAACAGCTTTGCTCTTGCTGTGGTTTACCTCCTTTTGGTTTTGTTTAGAGCTCCCTTGGGGATAGAGAGGAAGCATGAAGTGGCAAAAGAGGGAGGTTAAATGGCATGAAGCAGATAAATGAAAACAAAAGCGGAAAGAACTCTCAAGAGAGCAAAGTGATAGAGCTGGAAAGACCAAGCCTTGTCCAGGGCATCTCAGCTCACTGCAATACAGAAGCCTTAACCATTTTGCCTGGGATTTATTCAAAAACCCGTGAACCACTGAATATATCATTATCCGGTTTTATTGAATTAGCTCGCAGCACATATTTTCAGCACTTAGACAAACATTTCTGTGCAATTTAGATCTGAAAGTCAGGGTTTAGGATTTGGGATTTATAGGAAAACAACCCTAGCCCCACTTTCTCTCAATGCACTGGTGGAGGTTGGGGCTGCAAGGTGAAGGACCACCGAATACAAGCTGCCCTGCCTTCCTCTGGCAGCAGTTACACAAAGCCAAGCAGTTGTCTTGACCTCAGAAATTCTCAGTCTTTAGCAGATGAATGTGCAATATGGCACTCCAAGAGGGAGATACAGTAGGTTACATGTCACAAATACATTTAACCTTTGAATTCTTCCCCCTTAATTTCACCTACTAACCTCTTAATACCTTTTACAGGGTCCAATTTGAAAAACACTAGGTGGGATGGTTAATTTTATGTGTCCCCTTGGTTGGACCACGATGGCAGCTATTTGGTCAGACATTATTCTGGATGTTTCTGTAAAGGAGTTTTTGGGTAAGATTTGCAATTAAATTGGTGGACTTTGAGTAAAGTAGATTGCCCTCCATTTCATAGGTGGGCCTCATTCAATCGGTTGATGCCTTGATCAGAACCAAAGGTTGACTGTCCCCAAGTAAAAAGGAATTCTGCCAGCAGATGGCTTTCTTTTTCCCATAGGACATTGGGGTACAGGTGGTGTTTGGTTACATGATTAAGTTCTTTAGTGGTGATTTGTGAGATTTTGGTGCACCCATCACCTGAGCAGTATACACTGCACCATATTTGTAGTCTTTTACCCCTCGCTCCCCTCCCACTCTTCCTCTCAAGTTCCCAACGTCCATTGTATCATTCTTATGCCTTTGCACCCTCATAGCTTAGCTTCCACGTATCAGTGAGAATATACGATGTTTGGTTTTCCATTCCTCAGTTACCTCACTTAGAATAATAGTCTCCAATCTCATCCAGGTCTCTGAGAATGTCATTAATTCATTCCGTTTTATGACTGAGTAGTATTCCATCATAATGTTTACCATAGTTTCTTTATCCATTTGTTGATTGATGGGCATTTGGGTTGGTTTCGTGATTTTGCAATTGCGAGTTGTCCTGCTATAAACATGTGTGCAAGTATGTTTTTGTATAATGACATCTTGTCCTCTGGGTTAGATACCCACTACTGGGATTGCTGGATCAAATGGTAGCTCTCCTTTTAGTTCTTTAAGGAACCTCCACACTGTTTTCCATAGTGGCTGTACAAGTTTACATTCCCACCAGTAGTGTAGAAGTGTTCCCTGATCACTGCATTCACACCAACATCTACTGGTTTTGTTTTGTTTTGTTATTATCATGGCTATTCTTGCAGGGGTAAGGTGGTATCATATTGTGGTTTTGATATTGCATTTCCCTGATCATTGGTGATGTTGAGCATTTTTTCATATGTTTGTTGACCATTTGTATATCTTCTTTTGAGAATTGAGCAGACAGCTTTTGAACTTCATTTACAACATTAGCTCTTCCTGGTTTGCCAGCAGACTGCTTTTTGACTTGAACTGCAACTCTTTCCTGAGTCTTCAGTCTGCCAACCGTCTCCATCAGATTTTGAATTGGCCAAACCTCCACAATCACATACACCAGTTCCTTAAAATAAATGTATTACACACACACACACACACACACACACACACACACACAGAGAGACACATACATATACCCTATTTCTTTGGAGAACCCTAATACATTACATTAATGTAAATTTGGAAAATATAATGGAGTCTATTTTCAGATGGCCAGATTAATTGTAATTCTTGGTGAAAAGAGCAATGCACATTTCTAATGTACTATACAAACAGATTTTGAGATAAAGGGCAACTAAAAACCCAGGCACCAAGATCGAACGAATATGAAACATGTTAGAACAAACACAATTTTTGAGAAAAGCATTTTCCTAGCCCAGGGCATGGCCCAGGGCAGAGCAAAAGCACCTGGAGAAGAAGAAAGGGCTCAAAATACCAATCAAAAACAGAGTAAGACCTCTTATTGAGGTCTTATCTAAGGCAAGCCAGATGGACACAAAGCTTTTAGCTGACAATGCAGGCAGGGGCTTCAACTCAGGGCTGGATTATGCGTTCACATTCTAAAAGTAAGGCCACAGAAGGAGGGATGTGGGGTCACATGCTTCTCCATGATAAAGACATAAGCAGAGGAAAGCTGCAAACAAGCCACCCCTAAAGGGTAGAGTACATGTAAGGTTTGGAAGGGAAGGACCAAGACAAGATCTCAGGACACTTGCTGATCTTTTCACCCAGGGTGAGATAAGGTGTCAGGAGCAAGCAATCTCACCCCTCTGGCAGAGGTTTCACCTTCTCATCACCTCATATGTGCTACTTTGAAGCCTCTAAAGTTCTTGAAGCTTCTACTAGAGATTTCCCATTTCCAAGTCTCCCAAACAGTGCAATTTTTCCTTAACTGTGCTTGTGATCTACCCACTACCTCACATATTGACTACATTTATTTGATTTTAATACTATGTAGTCTCCCAAAAAGACTTGATGTTTATAGTAAAAATAAAAGGACATACATTAAAGAAGAGTCAAAAACCAAAGTCAACAAATAAAGAGGAAAGAAAAGGTCATAAGAACAAAGCAATAGAAAGATCAGTTTGAAATTCAGTTCAACAAGTGTTGACTACAGATGTCTTTCCAAATCTAACTTACCCACCAGCATAGCATGGAGGTTAAGAGGGCTGCCACTTACTAGCTGTGACCCAAGGCCAAGTTACTTCACTGTTTAGTGCCTCCATTTTCCTATCTGAAAACTAGAGATAGGAATAAAATAAAATAACCTTTCCCAGAAATTGATGCAACTTCAAATTATTGTCTACCTCTCTCATTCCTAATCTAGTAAAAGTTCTTGAAAGAGAAGTCTAGGAGAGGGGAAAGAAACCAACATTTATTGTGTGCCTACTGTATATTAACTCTATAAATTATGCATTTAGTTATCATAGACTTGCGAGAAAACATTTTTATCAATTATATAGACAAAATGGAGTCATGGAGGCTCCAAGGCTTAGATCAGAAGCTACAGGAGACCTCAGATTTCCTCTCTTGTGATGCACACCATGGAGTGATGCTTCACACAGTGGGACTTCTGGGCTCCCTGCCTCAGAATCACTCAAAACCAATCACTTGTTAAAACCAATGATTCCCAGGCCCTCACCCAGACCTATATAATTACAGTTGCTTGATGGTAGTGGTTTTAATAAGTCACCCACCACCATGATTCCCCTGTACACTCAAGAGCCATTGACTCAGTGGTTAGGAGCATGGACTCTGAAGTTGGGCCTGGTCCTGGTGTCGCTATGTTCGAGGTATGTGATATCGCTATGTTCGAGGTATGTGACGTCGCTATGTTCGAGGTATGTGACATTGGGCACATTACTCAACCTCTCTGAGACTCTTTACTTCATTCCAAACATGGAGATTACAGCACATCCTTCATGTGGTTGCTGCAGTGACGAAATAATGAATGTCAGGTGCCAGGTTCAGAGTCTGGCACTTAGTAACTATGTTTATTTCCTTCACATGAGAATAACTTAATTTCCTCTTTGCTTTCTCATTCAACCTCACAGTTCACTGTATTTGCTTTTTTTTCCACCATTCAAGTGAAATCAGCTGAACAAATATGACCTCCTTGCTAAATCCAATTGCCTCTTTTCTGTTCTCATGCAGGTGAGAGATCATTTGGTTTGCGGAGACTTGGATTTGAGGCCTGGAAGCTGAGATAGGAACTAGTGAAAGGATTGGAGACAAATTTTTGGTGGAGAATTGAGAAAATTTGGAGATAAACTGGATGTAGAAGATAAAGAAAGAAGAGGTGCCAGGAATTACTCTTAGGGCTCAGTTTTGAATAATGAACCACTTACCATTTTTGGTGGAGCCGTTCACCAAGGGGAGGCACTAAATCCCTCTATGGGGAATATAATATAATCTTTACATTTCTAGAAATCTTCCAAATGACTCCAATGGCTAACCCTAGTTAAGAAGGATCAATCTAGAGAAGTGGCATAGAGAATAATGGTTACATTTAATGGCTAGTCATTATATCTTTCTTTGGAGGTAGCTTGTCTTATTCCAACCTAGTCATGAACTGGCCATATCACTGGAAAAGTTAGTTTAATCATCTATGAAATGGAAATAACTGGTTCATATGGCTGTTGTAATCTTATAAAACATTTGGAGTACTTCCAAGCTACCATTTTAGATTATTCACTTGAATAAGCCAGGTGTTTTCACATCTGTAAGCTTTAGCTCATTCCCTGCCTTTTGCTTGATATGTTCATCTCCCCTTGTGATAATTTTCTATTTCTTATCCAGAGATAGCTTTCCTCTGACTGGTACCTCAAACCACCACCCGCCCAAGCCAGTCATCTGGGCCATTTCTCCTGCTTGCATGGGCTCACAGTTCTCTATGCATTCTTCTACCATAGAACTTACCACAAAGGTTAGAGTTATTTATTTATATATTTATTTATTTATTTATTTATTTATTTTTGGTCTCCTGAACAAGACTTAGAACTTTTGGACCTTGCTGATCTTGTCTTATACGAATTTATATCCACAGAACCTAGTCTGTTGTAGCTTGAGGCACACAATGAATTAGATGGATTTAATTGAATTTAACTAAATTAAAAGCATGATACCCTCAGGGAACTCATCGCACAATCTAAGCCTCTTGCTTAATTAAAGTAGCCTATGAATGCAGTCACAGAGAGCTACAGCCAGCAGCCAGCGTATAGAAAACCTTCACCCTACATGGCTATTTAGGGTGCCCAAACTTAAGCCTAGACCAGTCATGCCAGACATAACACCTTTCTTATCTGTCTCTCACCTCTGCTGTGCTCTTCCTGAGCAATGTGGGGCCCATGCCTTTCTGAGGAACAGAGGAAGGAGGAAGGTGGGGTGGAGAGGAAGAAATACTCCTACAACTTTGCAAAACCTTCCTTCACCCCTCAATGAGGGACAGAAGATAGAGAGAGTGGCTGTATGTGCTGTATTAACAGGCATGCTCAGGCTGGTTTGAGTCTTTTCTAACCACCTGACTTTGTGTAGAAGGTCCGAACACCATTAGGCAAACCCCAATAATGGTACAAGCACAGTGAACTATCCCAGAGCAAGTTTCCTAAGAGGATCCACGGTTTTCACCATGCCTTTGAATGGAAGCAGAATTTGAACTCTCTCATACTAATTCTTGTGGAGCCTTCAAGAATTGAAGTACCCATAAAGTGTGAGGGAAGTACTGATCATACATTTTAAACTAAAATAATTTGATTAAGGGTTTGGGTCTCTGAGAGAAAAGTTGAAGAGGACTATTCATTCTATAATCTCGAGGCAAATGGACACAGCAGGAGGTAATCTGACATGTAAAAATGGAAACCTTTACAGCCAAGCAGATCTGGATCTAAATCCTGACTCATTTACTCTTTAGTTCTGTGCTCATTAAAGTTAATAATGATGACAATGATGATAATCGCTAACACGTTACATGTGCTTACTACATTCCAGGCTCTGTTGCAAGTGCCTTGCATGTATCAACTTATTGAAGATACCACCGTCATATTTTATAGCAAAGGAATCTGAGGCACAGAAAAGTTTTGCAATGGATACAAGTTACTAAAGAGCTGAGCCAGAATTCAAACCCAGGCAGCTGGGCTGCAGATGTCCATGCTAATAGCCACTCTGCTTCCCTGCCTCCCACGTGCCTCTGGAGCACAGCGTCTGGCTTTCAGAATCTGAGTTTCCTTCCCCGTAAAGTGCATATGATGACGCCAACCTTGGTGAGGTCTGAAGGAGATAGTGTACCTCGAACCCTAGACACCAGAGGGGCACCCACACTAGAGTAGGTGCCTCTAATTTCAACATGTACACTCACAATGTCCTCTCAGATTTCTAAGTAAAGTCTAATAAAATTCTGAGATATCTAGAGTCCCCAAGAACAGCAAATGTGTGGGTGGACTGAACAAATTGGAGGCTTTAAAATTTACTGTTTAGAATCTTCCATTGATCCAGAAGGCAGTCATAGTCTGTGATGCCCGCTATCTCAATATTTCTAAATTAACTATGGCTTTTGTTACAGGCTAGAAGCTCAGCAACTGCTAACAACCAGCTGGAGGGGTACATCAAAAGCTATGAGAGCCCAGAAGGAGAACAATTATTTAGAACTGGAGGGGCCAGTTGGGAAAGTCTTTGAAGGGTCTTCAGAAAATGGCCCAAAAGAAAAGAGGAAAAGTCATTCTACTGAGAGGTGTTTGTGTAACCAAAGCAACCGAGGTCTAAGAACTCACACAAGATTTGAAAAGGGTGAAGGATGCCTGGAAAGCTGGACTAGGAAAAGGTTGTGAAGGGCCCTGAATGTTACTTGTCACATGTTGCCTACAGCATGCAGAATCAAAACATGATAAATCATATCTTGAATCATGACATATGAAGCATGACACATGAATCATGACGTGTGACACGTTGAATGTCACATGTCACATGCCAGAGGCAGCCATCAAGAGTATTTGAAAGGGAAGTGTATAATCATGCCTGTTCTTTAGTAAGACAATTCGTATAGTGTTCAGTGTGGATTAAAATGGAGAACACAGGTATCAGTTTGACATCGACAGCACAGGAAACCATTTGGGTTTCTTGTACACCAAAATATTAAAACATATGTGCAAACACACCAACACATTAAAATCTTGAGAGAGAAGGGCCAAAAGTTCTTTGTCACTGGACTAAAAGTGGAAATAAATGTTTACAACCTCTAAGGTGGATTAAGCTAAGAATTTGGAGTTGTTGGCAAAACTGCCACATAAAATTTCAGATATGCAAAGAAATGCAATTGTAGACTTATGCACATACTTCCACCAGAGAAGGGAATCTGGGCAGAGTGGGTGAAGCAAAAAACATGTTCAAAGGTTAAGAAATGCCTTGCTCTTACCAAGAAGAGCTAACAGCATTTTCTTTGAATCAGCTCTCATATTCCCTTAAAAAGAAATTGATAGTGTTGTAGAAAACTCACCTATTGAAGAGAAAACAAAATCAGCAACCCAGTATGAGTTAACTGGTATTATGTTAAAGGGACAAGTAACTGTACTTTTGACATACACCCTCTAAAAGGTAGGGTGGCAGTGTTTCAAAGAATCAAGTCTGAGTAATAGAAAAGCATATACCACTTCCCCATATACACGTTTGAGCATGGGGGACCGGGAGGCTGGGTAATTGAATGCAGTTGTGCACATTGGCCATTCTCCCATCATGTACCATTTCTTCGATGTCTCTACCAAAATTCTCCTTCTAAGTGACACATCCCTTTATTGATCATCTTTCCCCATGCTGATCATCCTCAGGAATCATGTGAGTTATTAGTCTAAGTATTTGTTTTTCTCAAATATGGTCTTTTAACTGCTCCTTAAATATATTATGTATACATAGTTTGTTTTCCCAATGTAACTACAAGCATTTAAAAAATGGGAATATTTGTCTATATTTCTGTAATTTTTCATCATGCCTTGTGTGGTATATAAAAATCAACAGCAATAAAACAACAGTAATAATAGCAAGACATTTTGAATGCTAACTGTATGTTCAGCACTATTTCAATAGCTTTACAGGTATTTACTGATTTAATTATTACAACCACTGCATGAAGTAGATACTATTGTTGTCATCAGTTTGTACTTGAGGAAACTGAGTCATGGGAAGTTTAATTATCTTTTCCATAGTCACAAAGCCATTAAGTGTATGATCTCAGACAGTCTGACACCTGAGCTGTGCTTCAATGTACCTGTTAAGATATTCTTTTTCTTGAATTCAAATTCTGAAAGGAAAACAGAGTTGAAAATCCAAGGCCCTAGCTAATCAAGTAAAGTTTTGCTTTAAAAACATCAAGAAGCAATCTTCCTAAGGTCTCTGCATGATTTCGTGGCCCATCACAGAACACGGTCATCTTTGACTTCTACACCAAGGAAAATGTGGCTTATGGATTCTTGGATAGAACCTACTGCATGGCCTCTATCTTCATACGCCCTTGCTGGGATTTGAAGATAATATGAATAAAGTAGATTTAGTGGAAGTGAGGAGAAGGAACATTCTGAACAAAAAACACTTGTTCCACTTGGCCAGCTACCTATATTCTCATCAAGGGAGAGTTGGCCACAGTTAATACCACATCAAAGTGCAAACTCTGTACCAGCTTGCACCTTTACTTATTCCTACCTTTAACACACACATCGCATAACATGTATAATTCTTATTCTGGGTATAGTTGGTGGTAGGAAGGTTTTCACACATTTGAGATTCTATTTGGTGAGTATATAGTAACAACACAAGAAATGTGCCATCAGACTACTGTTCAGCAGTTTGCAAAGATGGCTACAACAATTCTTGTGATTCTTATGCACATGTTTTTGCTATGGAACTTTGTCACCCTTTCCCATCAAGATACACAGTCTATTTCTTTTTCCATTTAATTTGGCCCTGTGACTTGCCTAAAACCAACAGAAGGCTGCAGAAGGGACATCATATGACTTCAGAGTCTCAGCAGCAAAAGGCCTTTCAGCTTCTGCTTTCAGGCTGTCATTGCTGCGAGATAGGAAGCCTGGGCTAGCCTCTATGAGAATGAGAGACCACACCTGGTCAACAAGGAGAGCCAACCTGCAGCCATGTGAGTGAGACCATCCAGCCTCAGTTAAGCTGCCAGATGACTGCAGCCAGATAAGTGGCTACAGGCAAGACCAGTAAAAGAACAAACTGCCTGAGCCCAGCCCAAATTGCTAAGGCATAGCAATTTAGGACAAGATAAATTCTTGTGTTTTAAATCAGGATTTGTTATGGAGAAATTGATAACTGATAAAGCTCCAAATCCTAACTGAGATGAGAAATTCAACATCTTTTATATTACCATGATACAAACATTATTTTCTTAGTAGTCATCATTAAAGCTTTGTATGTTTAACTGCCCTTCCACTACTGCAACAGCTACAGTGCTGGTGCATTCACATGCATGCATACACATAAAGACACATTCTCCAGTTTCCCAACTAGTTACTCATATACTCTTACGGGCTTTCATTTCTCAATATTGCTACACTTCCAGCTCAGTCCATTTAACTAGCTTCATTCCCATATCTAACTCTTCCTGTCTATGAAGAGTAGCTTACGGTTACTTACTATGTGCCAGGAACTATTTCTGACTATCACTTTATCAGGCAGATTGTTCTCTATCAATAACTACTGAACAGGTGACTTCATCTAGTCAACCATGACATTAGAATCAATTGCAAGATAGAGATAGGAATCAAAGAGAAGAGATAAATATGTTACCCTTATTATTTATTTTTAAAACATTTATATTGGAAAATATGATTGAGACACCTACTAACCCACACAAACACAGGAACATTTGGGCAGCCACAGGCCTCCTCCAGTGCCGATTGGTGTGTGAAAAACTCACAGCATGGAGGATTAAAAAATGTATATTCTCTGAAGGCAGATATGCCCTTCCAGATACAAGAAAACGAATGAACCATTAATACTGAGTTCTTTCTCCCAAGCTGACCAATCAGTTATGACAATTCTTCTCCCCTAGGAAGAGTCACTCTTGAGAAGTCACAATTGTAACATTGATGGAGGTTTCCTATACAAACATAAAGACTGGGGAATATGTGTTTCCTCTATAACAAATGGTGACTTTCCATTATGTCTCCAGCCTCAACATCTTTCCTGAGCCTCAGAATTATATGTACACCTGTCTATTCAGTCTTTGCTTGGAAGCCTAATGGGTATTTCAAACTCAACATGTCAAAGAGGATACTCCTCATTTTTTTTAAACTATCTCTTCACTCCTGTTTTGTTTGCTAGGGTTGCCATAACAAAATAAGTCTGGGAAACTTAAACAGCAGAATTTTGTCCTCTCACAGTTCTAGAGGCTGGAAGTCCAAGATCAAGCAGTAGTTTCTCCTGGTATCTCTCTCCTTGGATACCTTCTCACTATGTCCTCACATGGCCTTTTCTTTGCACACACACATCTCTGGTGTCTATCCCTTCTTATAAGGAATCAGTCATATTGAATTACAAACCCACTCTTATGATATCATTTAACCTTAATTACCTCCTTAAAGGCCCTCTCTCAAAATATAGTCACATTAGAGGTTAGAGCTTCAGTACAGGAATTTTAGGGGTAGGGCACAATTCAGTTCCTAACCACCCCTCTCACAATCTTTCCTATTTTAGGAAATGGCACCACCACTGATTAATTTCTTAGGCTAAATTTTAGGAATCATCTAAGATTCCTCTTCCCCTCATACCCCACATCCAGTGCATTAGGAAGTTATGTGTGTTTTACCAATTCCATATCCCACCACCTCCACTATGGACTCCAGGTTTTGCTGTCTTGTTCTGCCTGCTCTACTGTAATAGTCTCCTAAATGGTTATACTGGTTCCTTTCCTATCCTGCTACAGTCTATTTCTCATACATCCATCAGAGCCAGTCAGCTACTGTTGAAAGTAAATCAGATACCATTGCTTCCCTAGTTTGCATTCTCTAGTGACTTCTCATTACACTTAGAATAAAACTCAACTCCAGTTTACAACCCACCTTCATCTACCCTTGACCACCTCACCTTCCTTACTACATATCACTCTTCCCCATCATTCACTCAACTCCAGTCACTTTGGCTGCCTTGACTTTCTTCAAGCATCCAAAGCTGTTTTTGGTGTCACAACCATTGCATGTGTTCATCCTTGTCCGTCTACCTGGAACTCTCTGGATGTGTCTCCCCACTTTTCATTTCACTGATACCTCTGCTCAAATGTAACTTTCTTAATAGAGCTTTCCTAACTCTATTTTAAACACACCTCATGACTTTCAACTCTTTTACCCTCCTTTATTTACTTTCAAAACATTTACAACTGCTTGAAATTGCATTGTATTTTTATTTGATTGTTTATTGTCTAGTCTTCTCCACTAGGTTGTAAACTTCCCGAGGCTTTTTGTTTCTTGCTGTACCTGTAGCACTGAGAAAGGTCCTTGAAACAAAATAAACCCTCAACACATATGCATTGAATGAAAATAATTTATGCAATCTAAATCATTCTGATTTGGAAATTTGATCATGCCACTTCCTGTCTTAAGCTCTCCAATGGCGTCTCATTGCTCTGTGGATAGACTCGAAGCATCTAACATGGTATAGAAGACCTTCCTACTTTTCAGTTTTACCTCTAGCTACACCCACCATGTAGCTTGAGCTCCAGCCCTCCCTAACCTTTATGATGACTAGAACCGTGCCGCTTCGTTTTGTAATCCTTGGATTCCAGCACAATATCTGGCACAAAATGGTCACAAAGCAGCTGGCATTAAGTGACAGGAATTATGCTATAAAACAGAGAGTGTACAGAGTCTTCATTTTACATTTCACTAGACGGTTACTATATTGACAAAATGTTGATAATAAAATCAGCCCTAGCTATTTGTCACAGGTACTTTAAAAATCAAATTTATATAAAAAATATTTATAGAGCACCTACTATGTGCTGGGCACTGTCCTATTTGTTGAGGGCACATTAATGATTGAAATAGACAATGATTTCTGCCTTCATGGAATTTATATTCTAGTAGGTAAAAGACTACACACACACACACACACACACACACACACACACACACACACAGGTAATAAGTTCAATAGACCTAATTCAGAGAAGGAGAGTAAGGAGGCCCTGGTGCAATGCATATGCACATTTTATACTTGGTGGTCAGGAAAGGCCTCATAAAGATGATGACATTTGAATAGAGACTAAAGGGGTTGAGGGAATGAACCATGTAGACATTTGGGGAAAGAATATTCCAGTCAGAGGGAACAATAAATGCAAAAACCCTGAGGCAAGAACATGTCTATAGTGTTCAAGACCGTATATTCTGGGCCATAAAATAAATCTCAATAAATTTAAAGGAATTCACACAATATAAAGTGTGCCCTCAGATCACAACAGAATTAAATGAAGCTCAATTTAATAAATAAAAGTAAATAACAGAAAGCATCCCTGGATAATCCTCAAATATTTGGAAACTAAATAACACATCTCTGAATACCTCATGAATCACAGGATTAATCAAAGACAATGAATTGAATGAAATTGAAAACAGAAATTACTGAAATTTGTAAGATACATCTAAATTTATGAAACTCAAACACCCAAATCAGAAAAGAAGAAAGGTTTGAAATTAACAACCTCAGCTTCTGCTTTAAGAAATTAGAAAAAGAAGAGAAAATAAAACCTGACCTAAGGAGAAGAAAGAAAATGATAAAGATTAGAGCGGAAAACCATGAAATAGAAAATAGAAAATGATAGAGAAAATCAATAAAATTAAAAACTTGTTCTTGAGAAAATCAAAACTGATAAACCTTTCACAAGACAGATCAGAAAAAGAGAAAGAGAAAACACCAACTACCCATATTAGGAATGTGAGAAGTGACAGTCCAGATTTGACCTGGAAAATAAAATGAAAATAAAGAAATATGATGAACAACGTTATGCCAATAAACTTGACAACTTTGATGAAAATGTACACATATCTTGAGTAGTATGAGCTATCAACATGGTTTTGACCCACATCCCCATCCAAATCTCAAGTTCAACTGTAATCTCCAATGTTGGAGGGAGGGCCTGGTGGGAGCTGATTGGATCATGGAGGTGTGTCCTTCATGAGTGGTTTAGCACCATCCTTTTAGTGCTGTTCTTGTGACAGTGAGTGAGTTTTCATGAGATCTGGTTGTTTAAAAATGTGTAGCACCTCATACTTCATCCTTTCTTGCTGCTCTGGCCATGTGATCTGCCTGCTCCCTCTTCCACTATGATTCTGTTTCCTGAGGCCTCCCCAGAAGCTGAACAGATGCCAGCACCATAATTCCAGTACAGCCCGTCGAACCGTGAGCCAATTAAACCTCTTATTTTATTTATTTTAAAAAATGTTTAATTTATTTATAAATTACCCAGTCTCAGGTATTTGTTTACAGCAATGGGAGAACTGACTAATACAGCTATCATAATGCATTCAAGAAGGAACAGAAGACACTAAATAGCCCTGCACCTATTAAGGAAATTAAGTGGTTTTTTTTAAATTCAATTTATAAAGAAATATATGAATGAAAATACTTTCCACGAAGTAAATCCTAGGCCTGAATTATTTCATCTGTGAATGCTAAAAAACACTTAAGCATGATATAATACCCATTCTATGCGAACTCTTCTAGGAAGTTGAAGAGGAGTAAATACTTCCCAACTCATTCCACAAGGTTAGCATTACTCTGATACCAAAATCAAAGGCATAACTAATGAAAACCATGGACCAATTTCCCTTGTGAGCGCAGATGAAAAATTCTTAGCAAATTTTAGCAAGTTGAATGTGACAATATCTAAAAGAAGACCAAGTGGAGTTTATCCCAAGAGTGCAGTGTTGGAGGAAAAACAGGGGACACTGTGGCTAGGCTGGAATGAGCCAGGGAAGTGAGATGAGATTTGAGAACTAATGAGAACTAGGTCATGTGGGCCAGAGGATTTGTTCCAGATCATCATGACCCTGAACTCAAACAATTAATACTAGTAGTGTGAATTTTAGGCCTGTCTACAGGAGAACAGGGAAAATTGAGGGGCAGGGGGGACTGGTAAATACCACAGAGAGAATTGTCAGCCTCATTGCAAGGACTTGATTTTTAATCTGAGTGAAATATAGGAAAACCATTAAAGAGTTTTGAGTAGAGGAGTGATATCATCATTTT